AAAATGCTGAAGTTCCTGCCTCGGCCTCCCAAGTTGCTGGGATTACAGGTGTGCACCATTCTGCCCAGCAATAATTTTTTTTTTAATCCTAGAACTAAAGATTATAAATTGCAAAATTATAACTCTCCTACTTAGTACAATGGATAAAACAGATACATCATTATAAGATTATACAACTTCAGGATGAACACAATCCTATAAACTCATATAAAGAAAATAAAAAATAGGCCACACACAAAGGACAGAAATCAGAGTGGCTTCAGATTTCACAACAGCACCAGAAGACTATGAAGCAGTGCCTTTGAAATCCTAAAAGAAATTATGTCCAGCCTATAATTCTATACCCAGTCAAACTATCCTGGTGGTAGAAAAAAAGAATTTTATGCAAAGTCTGAAAAAAAATTATCTTTCATACCCTTTTTTTCCACCAAAATGAGGAGTAAATCAAGAAAGAGAAGATGGGAGATGGGCTAATGAGAAAAAGGTCAAAGGCATCCCAGTAAGGATCATCATGAAGGGAGAGCCAGGCATGAGAGCTACACAGCAGGGACCAAGGGCAGACAGTCCTGCAGACAGTCCTGATGGGCAGGGCTGAGGCTCCAGTGGAGAAGCTTCAAGATGACCATGGGAGCAACTGAAAAGAATAAATATACCAGGAGTGGAGTCAGACAACAGATTGAATCAGGGATAAGTCCATAGACAAGAAAAGTAAAAAATATGCAGTGTTGTTAGTTACGTACTGCTTCATGACAAATGATCCCACGACTCTATGGCTCAAAATAACAATAGTTTCTGTTGGTTGGGAATTAGAAGTGACTTAGATGGGGGGTTGGCTGGGAAACCCTAAGGAGGTTGTTGTATACATGGGCTAGCACTGCAGGCTTCCTGTTTGACTGCCCTGAGCAACCCATTGGCTCTCACACTTGGTGTGAAAAACAGCACAATATCCTCATAATTGTTAAGTCAGAATATAACTATGGAAAGAGAGTGGAGGTAGCATCCAAAACTGTTTCTGTTTGGTCAAACCCTGTCTTCCACAGTAAGTACCCAGTGCTTAAAGCATAGTGATCAAGCCAGGCGCAGTGGTGCACACCTGTAATCCCAGCAGCTCAGGATGCTGAGGCAGGAGGATCGCAAGTTCAAAGCTAGCCTCAGCAACTTAGTGAGACCCTGTCTCTAAATAAAATATAAAAAGGCTTGGGGATACAGTTCAGTGGTTAAGCACCATGGGTTCAATCCCTGGTACCAAAAAAAAAAATAAAAAAAGCCATAGTGATCAAGAGGAAGTAATATGAGCATTTCTGTATAGAAATGCAAATGTGAATGCCAAAAGCAAATAAAACAACTGAGTTGAAATGGCTGTCTCAGGCAAATGAGGTTAAGGGGGCCTAGGGACTAATGTGTTAACTTAAACTTTGTGGCCTTACTAAACTATGCATATGTGTAACTTTGGTAAAAGTAGAACTTAGATCAGTAGCAAAACACTCCTGTTTCCTTAACTTTTAAAAAGGTATTTAAATATTCACGTGTATATATGTATACAAATACAGGTACACACTGAGATTCAGGATATTACTGCTTACTTTCTCCTTTGTGGGGATGATTATGTTTGTGTTTTGTCCTTTCAGTTTTTCCATGTCTTCCAAGTTTTTAACACCAATCAGGTGTTGTTTTTGTAATAAAAAAAAAGGAGGGGGGGTTGATTTATTTTTACAAAAAGTCTACTTGCCTCAGTTTTTCTCTCTGCAAATTGTAAAAAAATATAATGAATACTACTAAAACATTAACCATGGTCATCTTTTAGATATGAGATTATTATGACTGGGTTTTTTTCTTCTCCTCCCCCCACCCATCCTCTTTTTCTATATTCCTCAAGTTTTCTCTCATGAGCATGTTTTATTCTTTGAAGGGATAAAACTGTAAAAGGCTATTTAAGCAAGACTGTAGACCTGAGAATAACGTGAAGTGAGTCAGGAGGAGGAAAGGTGTTCTGTTTGGGTGGTGTGGCCATTCCCTGTTTCCCTGTATAATTAAACTATCCTGATGATGACCACTCAAAAATGTCCCTCTCTGGACCAGGTATGGTGGCACATACCCTCGATTGCAGAAACTCTGGAGCCTGAGGCAGAAGGATCACAAGATCAAGGCCTGCCTCAGCAGCTTAGCAAGACCCTGCCTCAAATTTTAAAAAGAACTGGGGGTATAACTCAACGGTAGAATACCCCTGAGTTCAGTCCTCAGTACTAGAAAAAATTTAAGAAGTCCCAATTTGGAACAGAAAGTTTTAAAGAGTCTAAACCTGAAGGATTAACAAATGGCCATGTGCCTGAGTCAGAGTAGTTGAATTGGGTGATTGAGAAAGAAGGCTGAAAGGAAGGTTGAGACCATAATACAGAGGCATGTTGAAAGCTAATGCAAGTTCTTCCACCGACCCCAGGGCTGGAGCAGGAAATGTACAAGATGAACCTGGAGCAGCTCCTAGTTAAAGTGAGGAAACTGAGGGGAGGGGTGGGAATTATACTTTCTTTACAAATTTTCTGAATATAAAATTTCTACGTTTATTTTTCTTTTAAAAAATAAAGGTGTTCTGCCAGATAGATGGCTTTTGGGCTGTGAGGTAAGAAATAATCAGACTAGCCTAATAAAATTATATGTGATTGTCAGAGCTGCAGTGGAAATATAAGGAGCAGCCAGCTCAGTCTGTGTGGTACATGTCACCTCTTTGTGCAAAGCCCCAGTTCCAAACAGCGCTCTTCTCTTTCATTTCCAGTCTCTTAAAGAACCATGAGCGCCTTCTGATCCCATGGTACTTTAAGACTAAGCATTTTGATCAAATACATCTAAGAAATCCATGTGAAAAGAGTATGGAACTGTGAGTGGCAGAGAGAAAATGGCCAGAAGTCAGGGTCCCTGGTGGTTTTCTTCCTGGTTTTCTTATAAACCAGCACAATGACCCTAGGATAGTCATTGAACTTCTCTGGATCTGCTTCCTTGTCTACAAAATGAGAGGGTTGAACAGAAAAAAAAAAAAAATTCTATGGTGACTTGCAGTTCTAAAAATACTGTGATTCTAAATTAAGATTTAGAGAGAAGCTGTGGCACTACAAATAATGGAAACTAAGTTCTGACTTTCTTGGTTCCTGGTCTGCAGGTAGTGTAGACTCCAAGGATTCTTCAGGATTCTCATCCCACTCCCCACATTCTAGAATGAGATTCTGTCTAGATATGTGGAACAGACCAGCTGTTGTAACTCCTTTGTTTCATAGTTGAAGAAATGACTCCAGAGTGATTGTGATTTGTTCAAATCACAAAGCTAGTAAGGCAGAGACCAGGTTTTCTGCCTCCTGGTTAGAACTCTGTACACTGCAGCAGGCCTCCCACAGAACAGGAGCCATCTTTTTACAAGGCCACCAGGACCTCATTTGCACTGTCTCCAAAATGGCCCTTGAGGACAGCTGTTCAGCATCCATCAACTCCAGTCCCTGAATTGTGGGGAAAGAAACCAGGGGCCTGCAGAGAGGACTCATCTTACCTTGAACCTTTTTTCTTTGGGTTCAAGAAAGGGAAACAGCAATTTCGATTTTTCTTCCCTAGCTTCCATAGTTTACCTTTCCTTTCTGGTAATTGCATAGCCTGAGATGATTAGTTTACAGAAGCCACGTGAACCAGTCAGCCCCCAAAGGGTTAACACTCCCAAATTATGGGGCTGGGTTAACAATAAACAGGATGTCCTCCAGAAATTAAATTTAAACCTCTGTGACTCAGGCTGCCCATCCCCTCAACTGGCTTGTTGTCTGGGGTTATTATCGGTAGTTAATTATACCGTTGGGTGTAGCAGCAGTGTTGGTCAGTTTGGGCTAAATGCAAGCAGGCTCTGGGACAAGGGGGCGTGAGTGGAAGGTAGGATGGGGCCGATGGAATGGAAGGTTCGGATGCAGAGCCTCTACCTGTACCCCACAGCTTCTAGGAGAGCCGTGGGAGAAGCCAGCTTTGGCCCCTTCCAGCTGCTTCCAGGGATTCCCTCACTTCCTACCTGCCACTAGGTGAGGCAGTGGCACTCTGTTCCTGTCACTACTGGGTTGTACTGTGTTGGCTTTCCAACTTGGCCATAGTTCTCTTCTTGGGCTCAATAGAATCAGAATTTTCAGTATCTGGAGGAAACGTCTAAATTTTCTAGTTTGCTACACTCATTTTACAGAGGAGGAAAGTAAGTCTCAGTGTAGCAGTTAGCTGCCAAATGACAGCCTGCTTAGGGAGGTGGACCAAGTAGTTGCTCCTCGACTCAAGTCCTACCCCCGTGACCTTCCTTCCCTTAGGCCAGGCTTCTTCCAGGTTACAGTGGGTACTCTGAGGTGCAGAGCTTCTTAGCAAGTTTTGGGAAAACTCAGGCTGGATCCCAGTTTCTCCGAGTTAGCTGCATTTAGATTTTGTCCATTTTCCCAGGGGATTAACCCAGCCCAACCAGTCATTAATGGCCATGTAATTTGTCATTTTTCCTCAGCTTCCCAAGAAGCCTGCAGACCCACAGTTTGTCCCCCTGTAGAGAAGCAATGAAGCACCTAGTATAGATGATAGTGATTTTTGTGGGGGGTTTTAAAAGCCATGTCTCCAAGAATGACAGCTGTTACAGTGAGCCTCTGATTTCTCATTTGTAGCTCCTCAGGACACAAGGTTTGTAGTGATTGTTATCTGGGGCTGTGTCCCTTTCCTGCCATATATATATGGCTGTGTATTTAAATGACAGACCGTTCATAAGATGTGCTGGGGAAGGAGGTGGTGCCCAAGAGCCTGCATGGGACACTGGATAGGAGGATCTGTTTTCTAGAACAAGGCCCTGGGTATAATGGTCCTGTGCCCTCCAGGGCTTGGGGTACCAGTGTCAGATAGTGAGCTTCAGCCACTCCTTACCCTCTTGGGGCAGAAGCACCCATGGTGCATCCATTCTTTCAACCACATCCTTCCCCATTTCTCAGGTATTCTCGTCTCTCTGTCTCTTCCAGGATTCCTTTCAAGATTGGGCAGCCCAAGAAACAGATTGTACCCAAAACAGTGAGTAGCCTCGTCTTTCCCTCTGAGATTCAGTTCTATCTTACATCGCCTCTGCATAGAACCAAAGCTTTGACTCCGCACATCTTGAGCTGAGAAGATAGCCACCTAGGCCTTATTGCCAGTCATGTTGATCTAGAACCTCTTAAAGACTGGGACTTGCAGGGGCCTCCTGTTCCGGGGTATTGGGGATCTTCCCCATTCTTGGTGGTTTACAAAGGTATGGCAAAGGCTCTGCTTCTGAGTAGTCTTTCCTAAGAGGATCCTGGAACACAGACTCCCTACCTAAGATACAGCCCAGGCTTTATTTATTTATTTATTTAGAGAGAGAGAGAGAGAGAGAGAATTTTAATATTTATTTTTTAGTTTTCGGCGGACACAACATCTTTGTTTGTATGTGGTGCTGAGGATCGAATCCGGGCCGCATGCATGCCAGGCAAGCACGCTACCGCTTGAGCCACATCCCCAGACCCCAGACTTTATTTTTAGCTATCTCCTCCACTAAAGACCAGGTAACTTCGTGCCCCTCGTCCCTTTGTCTGCCCTATCAAATGTGTCCTCTCCCATGATCCAGAGTCACCAGTGAGAGGGGATGACTGGCTGCTACCTGCTGTGAGCCCTATTTTATCTCCAGAATGGGAGAGGAGAACCTCAGTTCACAGAACCTGAATTCTAGATGGAAGCCCACAGAACTCATCTGGTCAACCTCCTGATTTTTCCTGATGAGTGGTGGTGACTGCTAAAGTGTGAAAAGGCCAGACTGGCAGAACTGGAGTTAGAACTCAGGTCCGAGTACTCCTTCCCTTGCTTTGTGCTGCTTCTCACTGTGAAGACCTTTGAAGTTTGGGAATTCTAGTCTGGAGTAGCCTTTTCAGCCCCTCTTCCACCAATCGGAGTGTAGTCCTTGGTTTTAACCTGGTTGTTAACTGTAGAGCCCCTCTCTCAATAACTTCAGAAATTTCTACTCTGTCTACTCAGTAGACTCTTATCCGTTGTCCCAACCCTTGATAGGCCTCCATGTCTTACTGACTCTCCTTCCTCAGCTCAGCTGTCAGGACCACAGGCAAACTACTGCTTTACTTTGGTAGGAAGTTCAGCACACATCTGACCAATGGCACCATCTTTGGGAAATTCAAAGTGAAGTCACTTGAAAGGAGCTGGGTCTGAGCTAAGAGAGTCCTCCTCTGCTTCATGCAGATGCAGGTCACTGAGAGGCTCCACTGCCTCCCGTGCAGGGGCTGACCATCTGTGGAGGCCTCCAGCTGAAGCCCAAAGAATCTGGGCGTGCAAATGCCGGCTCCAGCCAGCTACAGGAAGTGGGAAGGTGCGGCTTTGAGCCTCTAGAGTTTAATCCATGGCAGATCCTAAAGGGAAGTGGTTTTGAGAAGGGTCTTTTATTCCGATCCTCACTACCAAAAACAAAGAGACAAACAAAAAACCCTCCCAACACCCTAACCTTCATCGAAATGGCCTTTGTTCTCCCCAAAAAAAGCAAAGGCTAGAACGTACTTTCAACTTGTTTGCCAGAGTTTGTAGACAGAACAATCTTGAATCCTTTGCCCTGAGAGGTAGCAAGGACCCAGGGGAAAAACAGATACATGTGGCTTCCCTCTTCCCTTGCGTCCAACTCACTTGAGGTGGGATTGTCCTCTGGTTCATAGCCTCAGCTCGCCCACGTAGACCAGGGAGTGGGAAGAAGCCATGTTGGATTTGCAGCCTCAGTTTCCATCCTGGTTCTGTCACATCGTGTCTGATCTTGAGCGTGTTCCTTGGCCTCTCCAAGCTTTAGCGTTCTCATGTGTGAGATGAAGATGGCATGGCTGGCATCTCAGTCTGACACAAGGCAGTGCATGCAAGATGCAAGGCACTTAGCCCAGTGTCTGGCCCGTAGCCAGCCTTCAGTGCGATGCACTACAGAAAGCCAGCGGATTTGACTCCTTCATAAGCCATCGAGGACTTAGCCTGTCCAAGCAGCTCAGTTCCCCGGGCCATGGGCTGGGCCTTTGATCTCTCACAAGGAGTCAAAGCCGAGTTGGGGTCTGGAATAGAGTTGTTTGCTTGCTTGGCCCATTGTCCTCAACTCCCCAGGGCACTGAAGTATATGTAGTAAGACCCTCCCTCTTCAGAGTCGCGTTTTCCCTACCTCCTCCAGCCCCCAGAGCGGGCCTAGTCTGTGTGGTTGTCTCAGCATCTCTGGCAGCTGCCCCCGGATGGCAGTGACGCACTCTGGTATTCTTGCCCAGGCACTCTCAGGGAGGGGAGCAGATGTGGCCGCCCGGGTTATTGGAAGTCATGGCACCCCTGTCATGGGAAGAAATGCTCATGTTATCTTCAGGGAGTTTCAGGAGGTTTTTGGCTCAGGGCACTCAATTGTCAACCACAAAGAAAGCATTGTGTCTTTGCTCTGCTGCTCTCCTTTGCCCAGGTTATTAATGCACATTCCACCATTGTCAAAGCTTTGGCTGGAATGGCATGTTCTCTGCAGGGGCTGACCATTGGCACCAAGGCGGAGGAACAAAGCTCCCCTACCTCCCCATGCTAGCCTTCTGCCTAGTTCCCTCTGGCCCCTCAGGGCCCATAAATTGACTGGGGCATCCTGATGTGGAGAAAAGCCACACCTCCCCACCTAACCCAGGAGCAGGGAGCAGCACTTCAAAGCTTTCCTTTCTATGGTCCTGTGCAACAGGATTACCCCAGTCTTATGTGCAAAGGAAAGCACACACCAAGATCCCCAGCTAGGTCGGTGCCCTGCAAAGTTAGGGCAAGAAGGAGTAACCACATTAAGCCTTTCCAGTTGAGGAAGATTTCATGCTGAGCAGAGGAACCTTCACTTCCCTCACCCTCCTTCATCTTGGAGTGTACTGAAGAGAAGGCAGCTGTCCCCCGAGAGCATCCCTTGAAAAGGGGCTCTCAGAGTGCCCCTTATGCCTCAGCTCTGATGTGACACACCTTAGCTCCGGCCCTGGAGCCCTGGCCCTGCCTCCTGGCCTCCTTTTTCATTTCACTTGTGAGTTCAAGTTTTGGGAAAACAGACCTTTCATTCATTTAACACATTCCTAGTTCCTGCTACACCAGGGCTTGGCCTAGACCAGCAGATACAGCAGCAAGCAGCACAGCCCCTCCCTTGCACCCGGGCCCCAGAGAATGCAGGGAGCAGCTGAGGGCAGTTGTCTGGGGCTTGATTTTCCCTGCACTAACCTGGCCCGCCAGGCCCAGCCTGACTGGTCCCCTGAAGGTCCGTGCACATGTGTTTACACTTGCATTGTTGACTGGGCTCCAGTGGCCGTTTTGGCAAAGGCATCAAGCATTCAAAGATGTTCAGATCTTTTTTGCTTGGCTCTTTCTCTCAGAAGGCATATACCTTGGAATGTGGCTCCAATGTGTCCTTTTATTCCCTTAGCCATTGTCTAAGGAGCTGGGATTTTGGTGCTGTCCCCGGTGGGTCTTTCCTCTGTGGATAGATCTGGAGCCAGTGAGCTACAGAAGCAGCCTGCACCTGCCTCCTGCAAGTAGGGAAGCAGAATGTTTAGACTTCTCCTTTTAGGCTTCAGGTGGCCTTGAGTGGCATCAGGTAGAAGGGTCGTGTCCCACTTCATTCACCCTCATTCAGCTCCTAGCGTGAGACCTCAAGTTTCTCGTCAAACCTGAATAATCCCACCTAGTTGGAAACCCAAGGTCCCTCTCTCTGCAAGTTCAAGCAGTCCCCAGGCAGGGAAACCAGGTGTTCTCTGACATCCCACACACATCAGCACTCTCAGGGGATTGCAAAAGAGAGGACTGGGAGCCAAAGGCACAGCGCAGGGCTCCTCCCAGAGAGCAAGCACCTACTCTGTGCTGTAGATCTCGGGGAAAGCTTGACTGACTAAGAAATGCTTAGTTTTCATTTCATCCCTTTGGAAAAACTACTTTTAACTTGTAAAGACATGTCCTCTGAGGTTGAGCAGGAGCCACACACTGTCCTAGCACCCAGCACAGTGCTTCATGCTTAGCCACGGTCAGAGTTTACCTGGCTGCCATTGCCTGTGCACTTTGGGCTGCTTCTCCTTTCTGCTGGAAAGACGACAGCCCAGTCTGCCTCCCCAGGCTACTTCCATCACTCAGTGCAGGAGAGGCTCACAGACACTCTGGACCGTCACCCTCAGTGAGCACCATGGTGGGCCAGCCACCTGGCTTGTGCCCTGCACATACTGCCTGTTTAAGCAGTGTAAGCTTTGTAGCCCCTCAAGTTCACCCGACTGACTAACTGAAGTTAGTTACCCTTTTACCAGAAAAGAAAGTGAGGCTCTGGAGTGAGAGGAAATATTTTTAAGCTCCACAGCTAGTCAGAGCTCATATCTTATCTATCTCTGCTTATCCTCTAAACTGAAGACAGAGCCCCTTCCCTGTTCCCAGAACAAATTTGCCACCTGCAGTCACATACGTGGACTTTCTTGGCCTGCCGCAGACCCAGCTGCCGGCAGGAGGACCGGAGGGGAAACCAAGGCTGAGCGGGTGGCGTCCCACAAAGTCTCCTGGCTGCCGCGAGGCAGGGCCAGTCCTGAATTGCAGCCAGCCTCTTCTCCATGCCCTGCTGCCTCCCTGGGTGCACTTCAGTCATACTCCAGAGCACTTTGACCGCCACCAGAGTGGGGGCGAAGAGAGGGCACCCAGCCTGGCACCTCACTCCCCGTGGTGGCAGAGCAGAGCCACAATCCGCTGTGACTTGCCTGGCTGGCCCCTCTGGGAGGAGAGGCCTTCTCCCAAGTCAAACACTTCATTAATTTTGGGAACACAGGGGATACTGTGTCCCTGAGGATCTGCTGGAGCTTGCATGGACTGGACTGCGTTGTTTTCTGCAGATGGGGAGGGTGTGGAGAATCTCAGGCTGGGAGATGTTTTCCATTGTGTTGTCATTTCTCTGTTGATCGAGTTATCTCTTTTGTTACAGGTGGAGAGAGACTTTGAAAGGGAGTATGGAAAACTCCAGCAGTGAGTGTCAAACCCCGGGATGAGGCGGGTGTTGGGGAAGGGCAATACCTCCTGCTAGGTCTCCCTCCCCACCCTACCTGTCTCCTTCTGACCAGTCAGTGGGCCACTCATTAGCCCTGTCAGCACCTGGAAGCTGAGGCCAGTTCAGGTCACCAGGCTGCCAGTTCTCCCCCAGCAGATGGCTTTAGAACAGTCATTACTAGTAGCCTTTGGGGACTTGGCCTCCTGCAGAACATGCAGTTTGGGGTAAGAGCCCCATGGAGAGGTCCTTCCCTCCCTGGTGGGCCTTCTCAGGTCAGGGGCGGAGGAGCCTGAGTGCCGTGTGGCCCAGCACCCAGGCCTGCCCCTGCCTTGCAGGCTGGAGGAGCAGACCAAGAGACTGCAGAAGGACATGAAGAAGAGCACCGATGCTGACCTGGGTAGGTGCCCTGCCCACGCCTGGTGTGGCTGGTAGGGTTGGGGGTGTCCTGCTCCCTCAGGGGATGACTTGTAAGTCACCACATTCAGAGAATGTCAAAATAGTGTCCCTGAGAAGTGCCCTGAGGTCAGAGCACCACTTCCTCCTGCCCTACTGTGGCAGTGGTATGAGTACAAGGCTCTCCTGGAATTCCACTTAGGATAGAACCCTGGCCAGTAGAAACTTCTAGCAGAGGTGCCTCCACTACTCAGCATCTGGGCCATCAGCTCAGGCAGTGCCTTCCCTGCTCACAGAAACAAGAGTTCCTGGTTTTCTTGTGGTAACAGGAACTGAAGCTGTTGTGCATTTAAACAGAGTTGGGTTAAAGTATATGGCCTAATACCTCAGGATAAATTTGTTGTTGTGAAGGGCACTGAAAGGTCTGTGGTGAGTGAGAGCCAGCAGGTGCCAGGAAATGGCCAAGGCCTTGGGGAGGCTTCTTGGCTGAAGAGGTCTTATTTGATGAGGAAAAGCTAGGCCCAGGAGCTCTGAGACAAAGACAGCTCTGAAGTCAGGCAGTGTCAGGAGACTGTGTCCACAGGCTTTGTCCCCAGGGAGCCAGCCAGCAGCTGGAGCAATGGAGCAGTGCTCCCTTACTGTCTCCACCCAGGACACCCCGCACTTGACCAATAGTTTGCCACTAATTCCTGCCCTGCCCGGTCACTTTGGACCACAGGCTAACTCACTGTGCCTCAGTTCCCTGGTCCAGAAAACACAGGTGCTCGAGGTGCTGATCCCTCCGGCTGATGTGACGGTGAATCAGTTGGTTCAGTTGCTCTTAGTAAAAAGCACTAAGAGCAGCACTAGCATGTGGTGGCCTCTCAGAGAGGGTCAGCATGTGTGAATGTCATTTTAGAGTAGGATCTGAGGGAGACTTAGGTTTGACCAGGGTTCTCCACCTTCTCTCACTTTATAAATGCTGGACCCGTGCCTCAGAGCTAGGGATTCAACAGGAACTTCCCGTCCAAGGAGGGGAGACATAAGAAGTCAATGAGTATATGTTATAATGCCATGTTACAGTGATAGTATGAGGAAGAATAAGGGCAGGAGCGTGACAGGGTGCAGGAGGAGGCCTCCCTGAGGAGGGATCCCTTCCACACAGTCCTAAGGGACGAGGGAATCATCCATCAAGAATATCTGAGGAAACAGTGCTTTGAACGAAGAGGCCAGCAAGTGCCAAGGCCCTGAGTGGAGCAGGCTTTTCTTCAGAGGCTGTGTGCTCAGGTGAGGATCCATCTCCTGCACTTGGCCATTCCACCCACATACAAGTGCTCCGTGATGGCGGTGAAGCCCTGGAACAGTTCTCCTAGGACTTTTACCCTCATTGTCTCTTCTAAACTTGAGATTGACAGGGAATGTGAGATGTCCATTTTATGAGAGAATAAACCGTTTAGTTCAGTCCCTTGTCTCAGGACAGAAAAGTCTACCCCTTTCTTGCTTGTCCTCTGTCACCATCTCACTTGTTCCTCTGCCCCCCTCTTAGTAGAAATGGCAGAGTTTTCACTCTAGAACCTTAGCCCATCTGTGTTGGCATGGGTGCCTCATGAGCCAAGTCCAGATGGGCAGCATCAAGGTCTCCAGAGGCCATCCAGAATGCACAAGGTACTGAGCAGCTCAGGGTGGCATTAGAAGACCCAGTCCTACTTGATGTGCAATGGAAGGTCCCTAGCACAGGCAACAATTTGGATTCTCTCTCATTTTCTTCCCAGATGCTAAGACTTCAGCCATTTACTTACATAAACATGCATCTTTCCAGTAAAGGGCACTTTAAAAAGCTGATCAGAGGGAAGTGTGCCTTCCCCGGGAGCAGGGTTCTCTACCTTCTAGAAGCTGGGAGCCACCAGCAAAGCCGCCCGCCTGTGCAAGGAGGGCCAGCCCCTTTGGTCAGGGCCCCAGAGCCTCGGGCCATTGCTAATCCTGACAGTATGGGCCATCCTGAACACAGCCACTTCACTGCTGGCCCCTCACGTTTCCAAGCCAAGGGTTGGACTTGGGGGTTTATCTGTTCTGTGTGTTCTGGGGTCTGCATTATTTGGATGGCATTTGTCTCTTGCTCTGCACTGTCTTCAGCAGGGGAGGCGCTGTGACCTGCCACTTCCTCCCCTCCCTCCTCCTCAGGCAGCTGCACTGTGAGAGCGCGAGTGGAGTGAAGGCTTGTTGTTTTCGTAGTGGGTTGCTTTGAACCAAGTAGAACATCAGGATCCATGAAAAGGAGTCTGGCTATGGAGAACTTAGGATTAGGTGGGTGGCTCCTGGAGCTGAGGGCTACTGGCCCCTGAGTGAGGAGCAGAGTGTGGGCAGAGAAGGCTCTTCCTCACTGGGCACACGGCTGCGGCCTCATAGCCACACCCAGAGCCTCCCATGTTGGTGGCAGCAGGATCACTGGTGGGCTCAGGCCCCACTCCCAGATCTCTGATTCATCCAGTTGGAATGAGACCCAGAGATGTGTCTTTGATGCATGTCCAGGTGACACTGGTGCAGCCAGATCAGGGACACACTGAAAGAGCCAGTGACCCTGACAATGAGGGGAATTGAATTATACCTTTCCTGACTTCAGAAGCTCCTGAGCTCCCCAGATAGAATCTAAAATCCCCAGTTGTTTTTCTAAAAAAGTTGATCTTTCTTTCAAAAAAGTTGTAGGACTTTCAGAGTGATCAGTCTCTGAGGGATCTTTGGATCCTACAATTCAGAAGACTCAAGGGGACCCATGACCCTCTTTTTCTCTGAGGTTCAAAACCCACCAGCCTCTGGGGCTGTGCTGGCTAGCCATGCCCTGCTGAGCCTAAGCAGAGACAGAGAGGAATGTGAGCTAGGCCAGGGGACCAGGGCTTTCTTGACCTGAGCACCGGGCTGTGTGCCTAAGGAGATTCCAGACCCAGTTCTGCTCCTGAGCCAGTGGCTTGAGAGATGCAGTTCATTGACTTCACATGAGAGTCAGAGGTGTGGGCACTGGGAAAGCAGAAACAGAGAAAGAATGTCTCCCCACCCCCAGCTTTTGGATTTTTTTCCATCAAATATGGGGGAAAAATTAGTAGAAGACATTTTTCAGAAATTTTCCAGCTTTATCCAGGTTTTTATTATCTTTTAATTATGCCATATGTGATCATTTCATAATCAAATCAAGTTATGCATAATGTTTGTTCCTAATCTACAAAGTCACTTCACAGATTTTAAAGTGTTTCTTCCTCCGTTGTTTCAACATTTCTGGAAAGTTTACATTTCCAGTCTTCTCTCCCATTTGGCCCTTTTGCTAGGTGACTGCAGCCCTCTCCCAGATCCCAAGGGAGCCTAGGTGGTGCCCAGAACGGGCCGCTGGCTACTCAGGGCCTCTTTGATGCCTTGTAGAGGGGCTGGGCCAGGCAGGACCCCTCTTACCCAGGGCTCAGGTTCTTTCTAACCCACAGTCGAGAAGCAGGCCCTTCCTCAGGATAGCACTGGGCTCAGGGTTCCTGGCACCTGATGAGTGGAGGGAAGATCATACTGATCAGCTGGAAGGAAGGACTTCCTTCATTAATTCTAAGACACTGTTCACTGTAACATGTCTGACTTCTAAGCACTATAACACTTGATGGTGTGTTCTGGTTCCATTGGCAGCATTTTTCTTTCTTTCTTAGTGGTTTATGCAGCAATGGTATGTTTTACAACTGGTAATGTTTTGGACTGAGGGTATAGCCAGTGGTAGATGCTTGCCTAGCATGCACAAGCCTTGGGTTCAATTCCCAGCAACACACACACACACACACACAATTGATAGTGTCTTAAATTCAGTGACATACAAGTAGTAAGAAAATGCATTTGGCCAGATGTGGTGGCCTGGTCTGTAATCCCAGCAACCTGGGAGGCTGAGGCAGAGGATCACAAGTTTGAGGCCAGACTCAGCCACTTAGCAAGGCCCTAAGCAACTTAGTGAGACCAGTCTCAAAATAAAAAGAGCTGGGATGTGGTTCACTGGTTAAGCACCTCTGGGTTCAATCCCTGTACAAAAAAAGAAAGAGAAAGGGAAAGAAGGAAGAGAAGCAAGGGAGAGAGGGAGAGAAAATGCTTTCAAAATCTTGTCTCCACCCCCTAAGGAAGCCAGATGTACTCTGAAACTGGTATGGACAGGCACCCTCCAGTCCATCTTCCTGCCCCTCGAGAATTTTGATTGCAAATAATTGAGACCTGAAAACAACTATGGGACCAAGAACCTCAGCAGCCAACAGGTTTCTGAGCTGCCTCCTCCAGTCCACAAAGGACCCTTTGGCCCTTTACAGTGAAAGCGTGCTGAGCCAGGTGTAAACTGGAGTGCTTTTACTTGTGTACACAAGGGAGGCCAAAGCCTCACAGCCATGCCACCTGGAGAGGTTTATAAAATACATATTCTCAGGTTCCCAGTTTGCTGAATTAGAATCTCTGGAGCCAGAGATGGATATTTTACAGATTCCCACCCAAATGATCCTAGTATAACCTAGAGTTTAGAAAATGAAGTCATTGTAATCCATAAAGCTTTGTGAAAGTGTTCCTTGATGTGGTGTTAGATAGTCAGAAATAAGCACTAAACACTGAGGATAACCAGGCACAGTAGTGCATACCTATAATCCCAGCTACTGGGGAGACTGAGGCAGGAGGATCCCAGGTTTGAAGCCAGACTTGGCAATTTAGCCAGACCCTCTCTTGAAGTAAAATAAAAGAGGCTGGGATGTAGCTCAGTAGTAGAGCACTTGCCTAGCATGCATGAGGCCCTGGGTTCAATCCTCAGGGCCACATGGCTCTGTGGTGCCATGTAATTTTAATAGCTGTGGCATGGGAAGAGGGCTGCAGGTCCCTGGGCCATGGGAAAGCAGGAAGCACTGAGGATACCTTGAACCTGTTCCTTCAATGGTTCACCACTTTTTGACTTCTTACAGCCATGTCGAAATCTGCCGTGAAGATATCCCTGGACTTACTTTCCAATCCCCTCTGTGAGCAAGACCAAGACTTTTTGAACATGGTCACAGCCTTGGACACAGCCATGAAGCGGATGGATGCCTTCAACCAAGAAAAGGTGACTCAGTCTTTGTCTCTAGTGACCAAGCACTAGCACCTCCCCCCTCTGCCTCTCCATCTGGGCCATTCGGTCCTTGGAGTCCTTGTATTGCAAGCCCGCACCCGCCTCTTCCCTGATTGGGCTGCATCCTCTTCCCATGGCTCCTGTGAGGTGTACCCCTTACTGTGAGGCCATGAGGGTACGGACGCATGGCAGGTCTGCTCATGCAGGGCCCCTGAAGCTCTCTCGAGCCCCCACCTAGGCTTCCACACTGAGCAATGTCTGAGCCTTAGCAGCAGCATTAACGGGATGAACTTGACCTGGCCCTTGGGCCTCCTGATTGATCTCTCTGCCTCTTCAAGCTACGGAGTTAAGGGGTGCCACCTTGCCTCTCCTTCTGCATCCCCTTTCTGTCCTTGTTTTTAAGGGCCTGACGGATCTCTGCCTTCCAAGGAACTTGCAACCTCCCCTTTTAGGGAGAGTCTAAGTCCCCCAGTTTTGATGCCATTGGGTTTTTCTTTGACAGGTGAACCAGATCCAAAAGACTGTGATTGAACCCTTGAAAAAGTGAGTAATGTCATCTGGGGACACAGGCCTCAGGGCACTTAAGGGAAAGGCAGGTTAACTGGCCACTTGGGGACTAAGGAGCCTATCTAGCAGCCTGTACCCAGACCCCCATAGGGACAGACAGGCTCAAAGGGGCTCCAGCCATGAGATCTGTGTCTCTCTGGGTGCAGACTCCCAGCAGCTCCAGAGCACTGTCAGTGCCAGACATGCTCTGAGGTAGCCGGGAACTGCTGGTCCCCTCATGGCGCCAGACACTGCTCCGGTGGTCGGTCGGTCATTTGGCCCTTTTCCCCTTTGCTCCCGGTTGGGACCCGTGGGGCCAGGGCTGGCTGGATTCGGCCAGCAGAGATCCTGGCCAGCCCTCAGCGGACATGAGCAAGGCCTTTCATCTCAGACCGGGTGGGAGTGCAGCTGCCTGCAGCCCTCAGCTTTGGAAACGTGGGGGTGGCCACACATGGGGAAGGGTGCAGCAGTGGGGTCTTGCCTGGAGAGATCCCTCTAGCTCGTGACCTGTGAGGACCAGGAATTCTTCCGCAAGACTCATCTTTGTCTGGCAGGCCTTGGTCAGTGATCAGACAGGCCTGTTCCCTGGGCCCTGGAGGGAGGAGCAGACTGAAGCCTTGAAGCTCCCAAGTCCTTCCTCTCCTGGCCTCTCCCACTCGGCTTTGACCTAGAAAGGCTTGTGCTCCAGCCCAGCAGCTGCACTTTATTACCTCGTCTGTGGTGGTCCCTGGCAGCTGCTTTGCCAGGCCCTGGGTAATGAGGCCCTGCTTAATTATCATTAGGCCTGGATCAGGGCCCAGAGGGAGATGAAGAGAGCAGTTTTTGATCCTCCAGTCCCTTGTGTTGGGGGGTGTTGATCTATTCCTTCGCTGTACAAGTCCAAGGGGTGGGGTTAGGAAAAACACCTCTAACCCCTCAAGCACTCCTTCCTAACCAGGCCTGCAGTGGGAAGCTAGGCCGAGCTGGTGCACGAAGGGATTTCTCCTCCTGCCTCCTTCCCTGCCACCCAGCCTCCCCAGAGTAGGCTTTACCACCCACTGCCTCCCAGTCATACTCACCCCCCTGTCTCAGGGTCACATGGGGAGCTGGGTGTAGGATGAGCCTGAGTGCTTGTGACTCTGAGGCCTGATCTACAGGTCAAAGGTTCAGAGCTGAGTGAAAGGAACACAGAACAGACCTTGCCCACAAGAGGACTTCTCCGTGTGGAGAGCTGCAGGGTCCCAGAGGTAGCCACAGGCTGGCACAGCCCGGCAGGGATACCAGCTCAGAGAGCAGGGGGTTGACTCCTGTCTCTGTTTCACAACCAACGAGGCGGCCTTGAAATCAGATCCTGCAGCCAAACAGAGAGAAACCCCGGCTGCTTCCCACCACAAGCACAGCCCACCACCTGCCAGGAAGGTGGGGGCGTGGCAGAGGGGGCGGCCACCATCTCCGCAGCGGATCCTCTGACCCCTGCATGAGCCCTCCGGCCTGCCTGGCTGCCCAAGCTGGCTGCTCCCTGCAGCCCGCAGCCAACATGCGATCTCCCCTGACCACAGAAACCACCACAGCCTGCTGCCTCCTCCCCACTTGCTTCCTCTGCCAGGAGAGAAGCTCCCAGGGACCCCAGGACCGGAAACAGGAAACTGCAGCTTTCCTGTCCTCTGATGAAGATCATGGCCACATGGCCACCCTGCCGCCCCCAGCCTGCCCCCCAGGGGGCTCAGCCTCTAATCCCCGGTCCCTGGCCCGTTCACATGTCGGACAGGGATGCTTTCAATTTCCCTTTCCTGGTGGGTGGAAGATCCCGGCTGCGTGGGCACAGATGAGGAATGGCAGGCATTCCCCACCAGGCCGGCTGCTCCCAGCCCACCTCCCAGCCGGCCTCTTTCCCTCCTCGCTCTCCCTTCACCCCACGCTTTGCCTCCCTGCCTCCCTGCCTCCCGGAGAGCTAGCTTGCTGATGAAGCTTGGGCAAGCAAGAGAAGGACAGCCCAATGGGTCAAACTCCAGTAGGAAAGACCTGGGGTGGGCCCAGCCAGTTGTCCCTTCCAGGATAAATGTGAATCAGACCTGAGGTACTTTGGAGCCTCAGGAAGGCAGGCCCAGGTGTACTCACTGCCACCTGGCACAGTACCATGGAATGGGGAAGGTGTGCCAGCCCACCCCGCCAGCCTGAACGTGTGTCCTCGGAACTGACTTCTCGAGTGGTAGAGGCCGCTGAGGAGCAGGGAGGCAGGGCTGGGTGGGCAGGGGGAGGTGTGATCTGAATGGGTTTGGGGAGCAGAGTATTTCCTGAGACCTGGTCCAGGGAATCCTGTCCCCCATCTCTTACCACTAATTTACCAAGGGACAGCAGGGACTGAGCAGAGAGAGTCTGACTTCTTGGCCTTCTTTCTTTCTTTTTTTTTGTAAGGTTAATTTTTTGTTGTTGTTTGTTTAGTTGTCAGTGGACCTTTATTTTATTTTTATGTGGTGCTGAGAATCAAACCCAGTGCCTCACACATGCTAGGCAAGCGCTCTACCACTGAGCCCCAGCCCCAGCCCCCTGGCCTTATTTCTTTAGGGAAAACTACGAAGGCGTGGGCTTCGTGTGTGCATCTGGAGGGAGAGCTCTGCCCTTGCTGGGGGAAGTCAGTGTGTACCTTTTTAAGTCCCAGGGGCATGCCAAGGAGGGGCTTTGACACAGGGGACCAGCCTCCTACTGGCACCCAGACCTCTGACCTAAAGGTGGAGGGAACCATTTCACATCTGGGGTGGGGTGGGGGCGTCCCATTGTCAGAAAGCTGTGCAGTGCCACAGTACACACACCACCTGCCACTGGGCTGGCCATCTGTCCGCCCATGGCTGAAAAGTAGAAAATGGAAAGGTAGGGGTTCAATGAGCAGGAAAGGGGGCTAACATCCTGGTCCCCCACTCTTAGCCATCTCAGGGTAGGCTGTGATCTCTCTCCTTTGCCTCAGAAGATCCCAACCCCCAAATCCAAAGCTACTCATGGTTATTAGTGATTCATCAGTTGTGGCCTGAGCCTGCATGGCCTCTCAGTTTGAGGAGTGCTGCGGTGGGAGACAGAAGTTCTTGTGGGGGACATCAGTCTCCCTGCCAGTCAGGCTCCAACCGCAGCCACTGCACCTGCAGAGGATAGGTGACACTGATTCCAGAGACAGAGAAGGAGCCAATATTTGATTAACCTGTACACATAACCGTCTGACACTACCTGTTCCCAAGGCTGTAACCCCCAGTCCCTTCCCACCCCACCCTCCCAGCTGTGCACTTTGCCCTGAGCTTCCGCTGCTGTGTTCTCCAGAGGCTGACTGGGTCCCTCTGTTTGGCACTGCTGCTGGAGCTGACTCTGGCCCTGGAGATGACAGCTATGGAAACAGCCTGGGAGTATGTGCCCAGGTACAGGTGCTGCTCAGGTCAGCAGGTGTCCAGGGCCCCCTGACCGACTCGCATAACACCAGTCTTGTGCCTCACACACATGGCATTGCCCTTTCCTGAGATGATGGGCGTGGAGTGGTGGGATGATAGTCAGGGCAGGAAAGCGCCCCGCTGCTGCCTCTCATTCTTGCCCTGTACCTGTTCCACAGCCACCCAGCACCTCCCAGGCACGGGGGCCACCAAAGCAGAAGATTACTTCTGACAAGAGGATCAGACAGCTGCTAAGAACGCTTGTCCCCTGGGGTGGGAGGGACAGCATGGTAACTTCCCAGGCCAACTACACCTGCTCCCTTGTGCCACATACTGCTCAGCTGCCCAGGAATGGAGAAGGGCTCCTCTGGTGGCTGCAGCTCCATTGTGCAGCTGCCTTGGGCAAAAGCATCAAGACCAACTCTTCCCAGTGACATCACACTTTAGACGCACTCTGTGGAACACCATGCATGAGTCCTGGTGGAGAGGGTCCCCACGTCTACCAGTTACACAGCATTGAATAGGCCGCGTCTCCTGCCTGACCAGTCAGTCAGTCAAATATTGCCCTGCCAGCCTATCAGTATCTGGCCATGCACCTGAGGGGCCTGCCGACTCTGGTCACTCGGGGTGGAGAAGCAGAGTTGGTGAGCAGGACCAGAAGAGTCAGCTCCTCCTGGAGGAACCCAGAGAGGAAGAAGGAGCAGGGCTTGATTCCCACACATAAGGGCATGTAGCTGAGGAGTCAGAGAAGTCCTGGTGATCTGTCCCTTCTTTAGCATTTTCAGTTAGGTAGCAAGCCCTTCCATGATGGACATTAAATTAGAGGAATTGGTTTTCGGATTACCAGATGCCGGAGCATTGAAAATACTGCTGCTGTTTCTGAATGGCCCACTCTTATGAGTGGTTCCCATTTTGGTCCATTTTAGTCATGGGGTAGGAGGAGGTCCCTGAGTCATAAAGTTCTGGTTTGTTGGTCTGCCCTTTCGGTGGTAGGACAGCAGAATTTCTGCTTTTCCTGTGGTGCTGAGGAGCCCTTGAAAGAGTAGTTTCCAGTTTCAGTTCTGTGACCTACCAGTGGCACTATGAGGTGATGAGCGGGTGCCAGACAGAAAATTTGGCACTTGAGTACTCTTATGGACTATCTATCTGATTGTGACCTTGAGCAAGTCATGTGTCATCTCCCTAGCCTTGGGTTCTCCCAGTTCAGTTTTTAAGATGAAGCTGTCTGACAAATACCTTCTGAGGAGGAGTGTCCCAGCCCTGCCATCCTCTCGTGCAGGTCCTGGAGTATGGTGAGACTGCTGTGGGCAGGGAGGGAGGTAGCAGCTGGACAAGTGGTGTCATCCATTCTCCGCCCCCGGTGCTCAAGCCTAATGGAGTGGTCCTAAAAGTTCACGTGCTCTTGACCTTCCTCCTGGACATTGTTCTGTTAGTAACATAAGCTCCAGGCCACCAGGCACTGGTTGGTCTGTCTCCTGGTAAAATCCCAAGACCCGGAGCAGGGTCTGCACTTAGTAGGTATTCCATACATACCTGTGAATGACTGATGAGCTGCCAGGCTGCCCTCCCAGAATGGGCCTGTGTCCAACCCAACTGTGCCCGGCAGGTTTGGCAGTGTCTTCCCGAGCCTCAACATGGCAGTGAAGCGGCGGGAGCAGGCCTTGCAGGACTACAGGAGACTCCAGGCCAAGGTGGAGAAGTACGAGGAGAAGGAGAAGACAGGACCCGTGCTGGCCAAGCTGCACCAGGTGTCAGGGAGATGGGAGCGGGTGAGGGGGTTGACAAAGAAGGGACAAGGTGGCCAGAAGGGTCATTGGGGCCAAGTTCCTCCCTGCTCCTGGGGACCAAGGCACCAGCTATTCCTACTGGCACCCAGACACCTGCATCCTGCACCAGCCATGATTGTCTTGATGACAAGGTCTCCTTCCTCAGGCCCGAGAAGAGCTGCGGCCTGTGCGGGATGACTTTGAGGCCAAGAACAAGCAGCTCTTGGATGAGATGCCACGGTTCTACGGTAGCCGACTCGACTACTTCCAGCCCAGCTTTGAGTCCCTGATCCGAGCGCAGGTGAGGCCATGCCACTCACACACCCAAAGGTGACCAAATACTCTTGCCTTGGGAGATAGTCCTGGGCTTTGTGAACACCCTCAGGCCATCCCATACCCCACACTGGAAGGGAGACTTGGTCATTCTCTGCACAGACAGCTGGGCCCAGCACCCCAGCCACCGCAGGCGATCATTCAGTGCTGGGACATAGGGTTCTGGCACTGCAGGACTTGGACCGTGCAAGGATTTCTGTCTGGCTTCCTCCGTTGCTCGTAGGTTAATCCCAGCCCCAGGATGGACGAGGGCCTTGTTGTGTTAGCCATTCCTCCCTTGGCTTCTTAAACCAGGCAGCACCTTCAGCCTCTAGTTTGGGCAGGTTCTTTGCCTGAGGTTTCCAGGTGGTGAGGGATCCAGAGGTCCATAGAGTGAAGGCCTCTGAGGACCCAGTGGAAACTTTGAGCTTCCCATGGAGGGGACCCTGAGCCCCAGAGAGAGCCATGCCAGCTGCTGTCTCGTGATGCACCCCCTGGTGGAAGGGCAGGTGGGGCGCAGACTGGCCCGTGGTGCTGCCCAACTATGTGTTTGGACCAGGCACCATTTTAGTATACTGGCCAGAGCCCTGTGTGTCCTGTTACTCAGAGCAGGATGGCGTGTGTCCCCTGGCCTCTCCCACCCCATCTATCTTCAAGCCTTTAGCTAGGATTCTCTGCACTGGCCAAATGGGAAAGGTTGAGGTGCCAGAGCCAAGAGCAGGGCTCTTCCACATGGACCCCAGCTAATCATAGATGCTCATTGTTAGCCTCAGGATCCCAACACACCCTTCCCATCTTTTATCACCAGGTCACCAAATTTTAGGCTTCCAGTCCCTGTCTACCAGGGCCTGCCCACTTCTGCTTTTGCCTGGGCATCTGGCGCCCTCCAGTGGATGTCATCTTTCCTTATAGATTTCCCCTGGAAAAGTCTGGTTCCCACTTCTCCTCCTGCATCTTTGGAGACGTCCAAAGCCATGGGACCAGGTACTTGGCATTAGGAAGGCTGAGCAGGATCTACCCTGCAGCTGGGATTTCCTAATGACCTAAGTCCTTGGTCCTTTCTTGTTTCTTGAGGGCAGTGAGACAGAGCCACCAGCAGGAGGCGACAAGGGCTTCCTTCCTGCAGCTGTACCCTTGCCAACCCTTTCCTTTGCTGACACAACCCCACTGCAGCCTCCAGTGACCTACCCCCTACCTGCCCTCCCCTAGCTCCCAGGAGAAAGCTGGAGGGTGCCCAGGCTGGAGCCGTCTGGGAGGTTAGGGATGACCTATAGCCAAATCAGTGGGGTAACCACGGCTGTTTACTGCCTCCTCAGTGCCAACCTCCCCCTCACATGGCTGCTGCTGCCATTAGTCACTAGAGAAGTGAGCATTCCTGGTGACTCACCGGGCAGTGCAGCCTGGGCAAGAAATTTAGGGCCACCCCCTGCCCTCACCCCAGTGATTGCCTATGTCCCCAGTTTCTCAGGTGTTAGCAATAGGTTGGGACTGACCTCACTTAGCTCCCCTGGTCCCAGAGGAAGCCAGCTAGGATGTCAAGAGACTTCCTAAGGTACATACAACTCAGCCCTGGCCCCACTGCACCGTGCACCTTCCCAGTTTAGCATCTCCAAGTTTCTAAAGAGAAGGTGACAGCCAAGCTGGGGAGTTTGGAGAGAGTGGAACACAGGAGCACACGCATTTTATTTGATCAGAAAGTGGTTAGTTTCATGGCAGAAATGGCCTCTGCCCTCTGTGGAGAAGCCCCTAGTCCTCAGCAATCTGGGGGTGTTGCTGAAGAGCCTATCCCACTCCCCCACCCTAGCCTCTCATCCTTGTGTCCCTCCCACCCTATTGCTGTTCCCTACCCAGAAGGACCTGTGGACATAAGCCCAGCCTTAGAACCACTCCCCTTGGCTATGTGGTTTAGGCCAGGAACAAGGGTGGGGCAGGAGTGGAAGGCAGGTGGTAGATCCCAGGGCCTTGATCTCACCTTTACTTCTAGAGCAGGCTTTCAAGGCCCTGGGATCTACCACCTGCCGTGTCCTCTCTTTCCCACTGAGGTATGGTGCCCGCTAATCATCATCTCTCTCTCTGGGCCTGGCCTTGGCCATGTGTTCTTCTCCAACCACTCCCAAGTGCACAGGCACCCCTGCCCACACCAGCTGTTGGAAGGAACCAGGGATTGAAGGGCGTCACCTCCACCCCCATCCCCACAGGGCCACATTGCCTCTCTGCAACCCTGGTCTTGGACGGAGCCTTTCTCTGCAGTGGACATTCCAGAAAGCCACAGGCTGTGGTTCAGTCCTTCCTGCACCACCAGTTCAGGGAAATGGGTGAGGGCCAGAGAGGTGATGGAGAAGTGAGTAGAAACACCTGCCTTGAGCCAGCCACCAGCCACCCAAGGGACCAGACCCTGGCTAGGCTAGTGCTCCTAGACTGCTGGGCCCCGCAGGTATTGTGCTTGGGCACTGGATGCTAAGGGAGCCCAGCCCTTGCCAACAACTCTTGCCTCTTGCCCAGGTCGTGTACTACTCAGAAATGCATAAGATCTTTGGTGACCTCACCCAGCAGCTTGACCAGCCGGGCCACTCAGATGAGCAGCGGGAGCGAGAGAACGAGGCCAAACTGAGCGAGCTCCGAGCCCTCTCTATCGTGGCTGATGACTGAGCTTCCATCCTTCAAAGACTTCTGGGACACAGGCAACCTCTCTAGTCTTTGCCCTTAGCAGGCACAGGCTCATGCTTCTCCCACTGGCTGCTGTTTTGGAGACAAGAGGTGGCCCCTGCTCCACCTTATAATCCTTTGAACTGAGTGTCTCCATTCTCTTGAGCCTGTCACCAGGAGCCCCAAACAGGCTGCTCTCCTCAGGCACAGGTAAGCAGTGTAGAAAAACCCTAGGGGCTTTTTTATTTCCTGAAGAACCGTCCAGAGTATAACCTGACCTCAGGCCAGAGCAGCAGCCCCCTGGAAGGGCCTGGGTTTTGCCGTTGCAGTTGAGGGTCTTAGCCCCACTTGCGCAGCAGGGATCGCATCTACCTCGAGGACACATTCCTGGCCCCTCGTTGCTCTTCACACCAAAGATTCTTCTGGGCAAGGTACAGGCACAGTCCTGGGGAACAGGAGAGCCCTGTTCCTCCAGCCCCAGCAGACCCCTCACTCCAGCATGACAAAGGCGGGCTCAGTGCAGGGACAAGCCCTCGCTCTTCCGCATTCCCTAGGTAACTGGGACTTGATGTTAACTATCCCCCCATGCAGCATGTGACACATCAATCCACAGGCCTCAAAGCAAGAGCAGTGGGTTTGTGTCTAACCTGGATATCTGGAATTTTATTTTTTCAAGTAAAGTTTCCAACAAAACATCCACCTAGTGTTGTGCTGACTTGTGGAGAGAAGGGGAGCCCCTGGTACAGCTATCCCAGTTCCTGCCCACTTGGCAGAGGGCCTCTGCCTGATTCCAGCAGGCAGGCAGCCTAGGGTGCAAAGGTTCAGGCTTTCCACCTTCTGGAAAGAACTGCCAGGGTGCAGACACTGGCTTAGGGCCAGGAGGCTGGGAGGGCACCAGGCTGGCCAGAAAAGGAACGGGGAGAGCTAGGAGAACACACTGGTTTGTTTTTGACTTTGGTTTATTTAAAAAACAAAAAGCCAAAAAAAAAAAAAAAAAAAAAAAAACCAACAACTTTATATACAAAGTCAAACTGAAACCACGGATTATGGAAAGAGGCGAGAATTATGGGTAACAGGGAAAAAGGCTGGGCCAGAGCCAATACCACATTCTGAACACAGGAGCCGGGGAAGGAGGTGCTGGTTTCTTCTGGCGAGTCTGGGGTGGCTGGAACACAGTGTTCTATTGGCACCCTCGGCCCAACACCGAGAGCTTTCTAGCTTAGACTCCATTCCCACGACGGCCACCAGAGCCCCCCAGGAGTCTGCGCCTGGAACCTATAGGACTTGTGCCATCCAAAGGAAGGGGTTTCTTAGCCCCCACCAGACTCCACATCTGTTCCTTCAGTGTACTAGCATCAGACCTTGTCACAGGCTCGAAAAGCCTTTTCCTCCCCTGTCTCACTCTAATCTGGAAGAGGACAGGAGACAGCACAATACTACAAGGGCCCTGGGAGAAATTCCAAGGTTGAGGGCAAAATGACATTCTAGGGGTGCAAAAGATGTTATATTTAGTTGTAGCTGGAACTGGGGTTCCTCAAACTTCCACCCACAAAGCACAGACCCCACCCTGATGGCTTGACATCCCCTGCAGAGGCTGAGCACAGGGCTCAGCCACCCCTGCCTGTGGCTCCCAGGCCTTGCTCCAGTGGCTTTCTGGTACCAAAAGGGCTTTAACGTCATCAGGCTCCATCGCTGACCTCACAGGACGGCCACTCCTGGGCAAAGTCCCTCAGTTGCTAGGTGCTGGCTCTTCCTTCTCTACCCAGCTATCGGCCTATATGAGCACAGAGAACAGATGACATCAGAGGACAGCTAACCACTTACTGCTGGGAGCCTTTGGGCTACATGCTGCTAGGTTCCCAAAGAAACTAGTGGATGGAGATGAGAGAATCTGAGAAGGGCACTGGTGGCTAGGCTTTCCACATGGCAGCCAACTGTTCTCTGGGGCTTTTGGAGCTCCACCAAGAGGAGATGCAGTCACCCCACACACCCCACTCACCTTTTCAACCATCCGCTGCATCTCAAGCTGCAGCGGGGTCAGGCGCCTGCGGAACTCCTGCAGCAGCCGCTGAAGCTGGCTCTTCTGCCGTTCAGCTGCCCGAGCTGTCTCCTCCGCCTCAGTCAGCCGGGCCCGCAGCTCCTGCATCTCCGCTGCCAGTGTCTTATTCGTCACTTCAGTGGCTGAGAAACGGTGATGGCTCTCCTCTGTGCAATGTGGGAAGACACACCGGATGGACTCAGGTGAAGCACAGGGCAAGGGTCTAAAGCCTACGGAGTGGTGTCACCCTAGTCCCTGGGGATACCCACTCTCCCATCCCACCCACGACAAGCCCCACAGCCTCTAGACCACTCACCCAGCTTCAGTTCCAGTGTATGAATCTTGTTTTCTAGGTAGAGCCGGCCACTGTCCTGCTGTTCTGCACGTTGCAGCAGGCTCCCCACATTGATCAGGCTGCCATTATGGGGCACCAGGCCTTTGTGTTCCGTGGGAGCAGCACCTGGCTTTGCACTCTTCCCAGAAGGAGGCAGCAGATCCAGGTTTCCTAGAAGGGGCCATGAAAAAAATCTCATGAAGTCTCAGGAGGAAAAGGCAACCTACCCTATCCCTTTTCCCACAGGTGCATAGCACAGGACATACCAAAGAGCACCTCCTCAGGAAGCCCACCGTCCACCACCTCTGGGCGGCTGTACTGAAGGCTCCGGTACTGGCAAATGTTTTGCGTCACCACCCTACTGACCAGCTGCTTGGCCTATAGAAAACACCAAACACCTGCTGGTCAGACAGTGTGAACCCTGCCCCAAAGAGAGGAACAAGGAACTAGAAGGAGCTCATTGTAGGCCTGTGCATATTAGGAGGCCATCCAGAAAAGACAGAAAGATGGGGCAGAAGAGAAGTTACCTGCTCTGCACTGAGCCGAATCCCCAGGGTAAGAAGGACCCTCTCCAAGTCTCGCCGGTGCAAGTAGCCACACCAGTTGGCATCAAAGAATACAAAAGCTAGAAGACAGTCCAAGGGAAGCACAGCAGATGGGTCCAGCTCCTTGGGCTGTAAAGGAAAACAGATGGACAGCTTTACTGACAGATCTCAGTGACTAAATGGCCCAGGACACAACCTCTTTACAGCAAGCAGCCTGAATGACAGTACCAAGCAGCCTTACAGCTGAAGGTTCCAGGCCTCTGTGGAGCACTTTCCCAAAAAGAACCTGGTGTGCTCCCAGGTTAGATCCCTCTCAGCTCCCCGCAACAGGGAGAATGAAATGATCCCCATGAATCAAGAACCACATTTTGTTTCTTGTTTATCAAGGGAAAAGTCACTGGTAGCCTCCCAGGTGAGGTATGCCTATCAGAGGTATTGCCAAGCTTCCCACCACAGAAACTAAGGAAAAAAAAGGTCTCACCATGTCCTGAAGTGAGGAGAATTCCATCTCTGACTGGTTTGAGGCAACAGACCGGACTTCCGAGTCCTCTAGCTTTGCTCCTGCTACAAAAAAACCCAAGTTAAACAGGGAGCCCACGGTGGCCCACACTTGCCCCACAGCCCTAAGAGACAGAAGTTAAACAGGGAGCCCACGGTGACCCACACTTGCCCCACAGCCCTAAGAGACAGAAGTTAAACAGGGAGCCCACAGTGGCCCACACTTGCCTCACAGCCCTAAGAGACAGACACCACCTGAGGACCATAATCTGCTCCCCACTGGACATACCAAACTCCTCCTCCCCATCATCCCTCAGAAGTAGCAGCTCTGGGTCCAGGGCCATCTCACACAGGTCCTCAGATGCCTCACCCCGGGTCTTCTCTTCCTCCTCTCCCCCAGAAGAGGGTGGTTTGGGCAAAAGCCCATCCTCCTTCTAGAGAAGCAGACAAGGTGATGAGGAGAAGGAACTAATTCCTGTAATACTAATAATAATGGCTAACATCTGAGTATCAACTCTGTGCCGGGCACTGTGTTAGAGCCTGTAGGTGTTTAATTGAATGACACAGGATCCAGAGCACAACAGAGGCACTTCTAGACACCCAGGTTCTCTTCAGGAGTCAACCTAGTCCTAGAAAAAATTAAGTATACTTGAGAGCATCTGGGCAAGAAGTAGACTCGCGTTATAAAAATGGTGAAAAGTCCATCCAGCTAACCATATGGCAATCCAACCTCCTCTGCTCTCCCAGGCCTTCTTTGTGACTGACACTTCATGCCATCATGACGCGTCAGCCATGCTTCCCTCCCCTCTTCTCTGCCACCTCCTTCACCCTGTGTGTGCCACTGCTTAACTATGTGGTATGAGAGTAATCTCTCTGGGCCTCAGTCTATCCCAGGCTTCCAAGAAGTATGCACTGTGAGGGAGCACGAGTGAAATGGGACATGGGAAATACTTAGGACGATGCCTGGCACAAGTGAGGGACTCAGATCACAATAATCATTATCACTATGTGTGGTCCTCAGCCCAGCCAGGGCTGACGAAGGTACTCACCAGCGGGGTGTCTGACTCGGCAGCCGTGCCCTCATTCTGTACCTCATCCTTGGACTCCTTGGCCACCTCCTCCTTGACAGCTTCCTCCTCCTTGACCGCTTCCTCTTTGGCCACCTCCTCCTTCTCAGTTTCAGGGGGGGTCACAACCTTTTCAGGAAGGCTCAGTAGCATTTTATAAATCTTATAGCCAAAATCCCTCTGCAGCATCTCCAGAAACAGCTCAGCCAATACCATCACCTATTTAGAAGGGGTGGCAGAACCCTGTGAGCATCAGGTGAAAAAGGAATATGCCACACTGCCACAGCCCGCACCCTACCCACAGCCCCCTGAAACTCCTACACCTGCCTCAAAAGAAATCCTTTCTTTTGGCCTCCGATCCTCCACAATCCCATGGAGGGAAAGGTTTACACAGCCAGGACGTGCCATGACAGCAGGTTCTAGAGGGGGTGGAGGGGCCTCTGGGAGATCAGTGTCCATCTCTTGTTGTGCAGTGGCCTCTGGAGTCTCCGCATTCTGTTTAGAACTATCTGCCGCTTGCTCCGAAGCATCAGGGGCCTGTTCAGTAGGCTCTGCTTCCTGTAACCATAGCCAAGATGTGACCCTGAGGGTCTCAGTGTCAGGGTACCTACTTTTCTGCGTCTTCCTAAGGCTCAGCCTTAATCTCTGGTACCTCCTGGGTTGGGGGAGCTGCCTCTGTGGCTTTCTGCTGGCACAGGGCCTCCCACTCCTCCAAAGTGGGCATTATGGTCCAGACGTCTGGCAGGTACACCACCACTGTATGCAGCCTCCGGGGCGGTCCCGGCTGCAGGTACTGAAACTCAGCAAAGCGCCACCTGCTCACAGCAAAAGGAAAAGGAAGCCCTAAGCCCCAATCAACACATTCAGGCAGACGCCAGGCTCACAAAATGCCTGTGTTTCCAGTCAGCACAGACCAAGCACATACTGGACAGCGAGCTGTGAAAGGACAAACACATGATACAGAACAAGTCCTCAAGAACAGCAAGCAACAGGGAGATGACAGACAGTTGCTGTGCCGGAGCTAAGGCAACAAGGATTGCCAGGTACAGCTTGGGGGTACCTCTAGTACCCCATAACCCTTGGGCATGTTCAGGACCCCAGTGTCCATCTGTGAGTAGCTGGGGGTGGCATGAGTTATGACTGGGCACAGAAGAAAGCTGGCAGGCCACAGGGCAAAGGCCAGATCTTCTAAACAGACTCTCCCCACAGCGAGCT